CTTGACATTTGACTCACTTGTCAGTCGAGGAGACGAGACATTTTTAGAGTTGATGGTTCTTTTCTTTGGTTTCTTGATTTCGGTCCAATTTCATAAAATTTTTCGGATTTCTGAATTATGTATTGGTTCTTTTACTATGAACAGTGCATTTACAACGAGGGTAGGCTTCCGCTTCACAGATGAATTTATTACGCTGTTTCCATTCAGACTGGTTCAAATTGATTCTTTGTGGTTCTTTGTCATTTTTTTGCGCAGTCAGTACCAATTTTCTCTTAAAATTGGCACGGTTGAACGTTTACAAATTTACTCTGAACTGCTTTAGGTGCATCCTTCCAGGAATATGATTGACCGGCGAAGAAAGCAAGTCAACCAGCAGGACAGCACAGTTCTCTGACTGACTGAGCACAAGCCAGCATCACGTCGCCCAAACTCTGCCAATGATCTGTGAACTTCTTTCATTCGGTTCCGAAACGTTGTTTTCCTTGTAAATTCCGACATTTCAAATGAATTCGACCAACATGCGAGGCACTAACTAACTTCCTACCCACACGCGCGACGGGGTGTTCTCCACGAGACCAGAACCCAGCCCTCCTCCCCCTCAGCGCCCTAAAGTGTCCGTTCTTTGATTCAAGTACAAGTAGAACATCTAGACACGGGAAGTGGGAACCTTTTGGAATCTCCGATTTGACCCTACACGAACATACATGTCTACACTGCTCACATATTTACAGTCGGGGAATTACTATAAAAAATGAAGGAAATAGTAATGAATGTACATTTTCATCTAATGTGACGATATGCATTTATTTAATGCGTCATAGTTAGTGGAAAGTACGTAAAGTCTTCTAAAAAATTATCTCTCTCCTCCTGAAATCTCCTTCTCCGTCACCTTTTGCAATCTACGGGATTCTCACAATGTGTGACACTTGTCTGTGGCAATCTCTTGTAGATATCAGCAAGACCAGACCGTCTCAGAGTGCCCTTTGAATTTAAGAGATCAAATATTGGTAGTAATAAATACATTCGCCAATTTAAAATTTCTCATGGATTCTGCTGATTCACAGGAGTAATAAGTACGAGGTATGGGTTGTTGTGCAAACAATGCCACCAATATTACTTGAACTGGAAAGGCTGGGAAATTATTGAGTGGGCAATAAAAAGCACATCCAGAGAGGGAATGGAAGGGATTACAATTACGAGAGTTAGGCTCCTGCTGAGTCAGCCCTGCGTGAACACTTTCTCAACAGCAGCCAGCACCCTTGGGTCCCTCCAGAGGCTCCTTCTACGACCGTCGGTCACCGATTGAGGTGCTCTCCGATAGCATCTCACCAGGCGAAGGGTCAAGTCATCTTCTTGAGATTTTGATGACGACGACGATGATCCTCGTAAAATCCTCATCATGTGGTCCTCCGCGTGGTTCTCAAAGTCTTGAGTTCTTTATTAGATTTTCATATTAGATTTGACAGACTAGGCACGCATAAAAACCAGTCTGAAATTCTTATCTTTCTTTCCTTATCACTATACAGGGACGAGCATTGACGAAACATGTTTGCTGAAAATGACTGACAGTAATTTGCAAGATATTGATAAAGTGCAAAATTGGCTTATATAGATGAAATTTTGGTGTTTATTATAACTTTTAACCGCAGGGTAATGTGTCCTTTAAACTGCATGCAGGTACCAGGATTTACACATGTGCCGTTTGTTAAATTTACCATTTTTCCTCCAAGCGTGAGAAGTTATTAAACCTTGGAACAATCGACGTTAATGAGATTAATCGTGGCATCAGACAAGAACACACATTAATATTTATGCAACCGAAAAAGTAATGTGGAGTAGAGCATGACTGTCGGTGGTGATCTAGCCCCGTTGCTATTTTATGCCATTGTATATTTTAGGATTCCTACCGTAATTGAAACAATTGACCCCTTCCTTGCAATTATCCGTATGCCGCACTGTCATTATCAAGCAGAAAACATGGCCATTAAACTATTAACTCCCAGCTCCAACAAGAAATAACTAAACATGAGCGTTTAAGCTATGAAATTCCTTAAAATGAGGCAAGAAAATTGTAAAAATTTAAAAAATTTTGATTATACTGTAGTTGCGTGATAATCGTCCATTAAGATTGTACAATTACAAATTATAACAATTAATCAAGGTGAAACAAGTCCATCAAAATGTTGAAAAATTTATAAAAACAACTATTCACAAGTTATGTTGTATTCGAATGAATACACATGATGATGATCTCGTTAAGCATAAAAACATTGATGTACATACAGATAAATCTATTTATCATATCGTGCATACACACATATGTATCCTGAATGGATGGATAAATAGTTCGAATATTGTAGCGTGAATCTTCTTATTACAAGCTTACAAAACAATCGAAAATGAATTGACTGCTTATTTGTAATCAAGAAATACAACGATTGAGACGCAACGAATTGCTCACTTGGCATCATATCACAAACTGCGAGGGGTCCAAGAGTTTTGGGCTGAGAAGCTTAAAAGAAATTAATCAAGAGAGGGAGAGCAAATGAGGGAAGGGAGATTAAAGCTGAGTGTGTAAAAATCACTCTTTTTAGCTTCTATGTACATCTCTGCAAGATTGTGTATACATTTGCCCTCAGTGGGTGAGCAAGAATAAGGAACAGCTCATTGTTCATGTAGAAAGTACGTGGCGTTTATTATTTGTTATTGAATTTTGCTGGCTGACTGAGTAATAAGATGGGACGCTGCTGGGTTGTTGATTAAGAAACTGTCCTCTGATTAATTACCTTGTTTCAGAAAATGTATATCTACTCCACGGGAAGCTTCAAAGTTTCACTCATTTGTCCAATCTCGCTGTCGAATTCTGATGTGGACAAATCTTTTCGTGACAGAACGCTTACTTTTCCCATTTGTTATGACCAAGAGTGACGAGTGAACAAGTAAAATTTTGTGTAATTCTTGCAAATAGATTTATTATAATGTACAACTCAATTAGCTATTGTGTGCACTTCTTGGTGCACAAATGACGATTTCCATGAACTTAGAAAGAAAGTGCGGTTTGTTACATATCAATTACGCTTTAGTGTGGTTTTTTTTAGCTTGAAACACATCGTACAGCCGCAAAGATGATATATAATAGGCTTATAGAAATGTTGTATTTTCACTGGCAAAGGTTCAAAGGAAATTCAATCCCAATGTTACACGAGTCAAACAAGCGCACATTACAAAGCAAAACACAGCGTCAAGAAAAAGCAAGAAATGTCAAGTTTTGTCTTTTAACCAAAGGCAATGATATGGATGCATGTCTGTAGAGGCTACATCGATTTGGTACATATATTCACAATGTATGTATGTATTCATGTTCCGCCGGATTTTGAACTGTATCTTCTCGGTAACAGGATATCTTCCACACAAAAAACCATAGTACCAACGAGTAAGCAGTTTCCAGAACAGGGGCAACAACATTACATAGGCAGGGACGTTGGGAACCTGTTTGTGTAAATTTCGTACAACTTGTCTGCTGTGCAGTCCGTGGCGACATTTGCAGTATGTGATGAGAAGACGCATTGTTTGTACACATTTAACAATGAAAGCTATTCATGTTCCCAATGCATCTCATCTCGGTTTAAGTGACAACTATGATGAAAATACGGGGAACAACTGGTACAACCCAGGAGTCCTCCTCCGATGTAGAACCTTGCCGTTGAATATTTACGATCCATTATCCGACAGAAACGATTTTCACTTGAAGCATAGCGTGTCCTGGCGCCTTCAAAGATGCTTAACTTTCACGGGTCAAGTCAAATCCGATATCGCGTCATAAATAAGCCAAGCACATTTATGTACACAAGGAGGAAGACTTTAATACAGATTGCTGTAAAGATGTGACAACAGTATTTTTTTGTGAAGACAATATGTGTGTACAAATTGTCATAAATTAGCAAGCTGGTTGAGTATTGGTTAAACAATCTAATATTTTTAGCAAGCAGATTAGATGAGATCTGAAGTATGCGCAGCATAGGTTTATTTATTTATCTGCAAAATCAATAAGTCCAAAGCCGCTATAAATTGGATTTAGTTAAATTACCGACAGTTGTATCCTCACCTAAGTTTGTTTGATAGTCATCGCGTGCATCCTGCTGGAAGTCAGCAAAGCTTGCATGGATTTTACATAGTCTTTGTTTTACCATGGTTTGATCCTATTTATGTCTTCTCAACCCTGATTCTACGAGACATTAATATGTATAAAAAAGTTGTGCAGAATCTGAAATGATTATAAAACCCTTCCTTTGTGCGCTGTGGGCAGAAGAGGAACCAGGACGATGAGATACGAATCAACGCTGCATCTTCCTTTACGTTTATCTAGCTTTGCGACTTGGCGTGGTGGTGGTGGCAGAATGAAAAGAGTCGACGTGAATAAAACTTCTTTGGCCAACCCACATCTTCACACCAAATCCCACCCCAGCCAATAACTCTGCAACTCCTCACCAAGCACAACAACCAACAAAAAGAAGTGTCCCGTCTTTCTCCGTTTTTTTACCCGTCCTCTCACCCTCGCCCCTCATTTATTTATGCAGAGCAAACTAAATCAGCTTTTTGTGTAGGATATGAATATGATCAGATCACCTTCCTACGTGAATTTCCATGAGAAATTACAGCACTTTTCTTCTCCAGCGATGTTTCTTCAAAAGGACCAAAAATTTAGTGACCTTTCTCGGAATAATTTATTTTAACTTGTGATAAGCAGATTGTTGTGTATCCAACTTTCTCCAAATCAACTCGTTTATTTCTCTAGCGTTACCAGTGTGGGTCACCCTGCCCCCTGGTAAACAAATTCATGAGATTTACTTCATATTCTTGGTCTCAAGTGATTTGCATGTTGCTTATACACCTTGCGTCACATTTCAAGTTTTTCCTACAATTTATAAAATTGGGTGTTACTTACCCCACCGGTCAACCACTTGACCGATTTTGCCCATTTTCGAACTTTATTCCTCATTTTCAGAACACTGTATGTGTACCAAGTTTGAAGTCGGTCGGATAAATTTCACGAGAGTTACTGGACGGACACACGACAGGTACGTAAGCCCTGTCTCGAGCTAACAAATGCAACATGTATATATACTAGTCTTAATAGAATGCGATTTAGTACGAAATTAAAATCTATGCTTCTCCGTACAAGAATTATACTTTCTTTGCAAACTACCAATTGGACTCGTAAATGCGTGGTTGTAATAAGCACGGATTGCGATGCTGCATGTATATTTGCCCATCCCACATAGATATTTATTCACATTTGTATACATTTCAGTCTGCCAAAAATGCAGTGTTAGTACGTAGTGATTAAAAATGTTCGTTGTTGTTGTAGAAGTGCAGAAGGAAGACAAATGAATTGGTATCGAGTAAAGTGAGACGAGTGGTACATACGGAGAGAAAAGTTACCATGCAGCTTATTCGTTTCATTACATGATGCACATAGCCTCGTCTCCTTGTTTCCCAGCCTCCTTCTTCACGCTCACACGAACTGAACGAGGAGAACCACATTCACGTAATAATATAATAACCAGCCAGCAGTGCATATCCAAATGATAGGAACAACTGCTGCTGCTGCTGCAACTACAAATCCAGTCCGGACTACCTCCTCTCTCTAAATTACGTACCCATCCGTCACTCGCTTTTCAGTCCAGAACTACCAACCAACTCAACAACCAGATCATCATTGCACGCATTAGCGTCCACTCTTTTACACTCCTCAGTTTCTCAAAATCCCGATCCTACTTGTAATCGCCGGTGGTGTAATGTGCAGCATTTTTTGACAACTTTGACTCTGTGAGTGAGTGAAATTCTCAACAAGGGGTGGACACGTTAGTGGCGAAAGTGAATTATTGTTGCCACTATATACATATAAGATTTGCATAATTGCTTTCTCCGAGTGGGAAGACCTTGCCCATTATTCTCCGAGAACAATGGAGTTTCCTAAAGTCTGCTGATGATAATGCAAGTCTAGACTTTGTGATCCTTGGCTCGATCCGTCTTCTGAAGGAAGAAAGTCCTCCCCCAACAACCCGAATCCAAACAAGTCTCATGGCACATGTGCTTGGTGAGATTTGTCGGGTTCTTCTTCTGGTAGTAGTACATCGTAGTGGGAGAGGAAGATAAACAAGTCTTTAGCTGAGAGCTATAGGCATTCCATCCAATCCAAATAAAGAACTGCGGCTGCTGGAATAGGTTGCTGGCTGTGAGTTGACCACCCTCTGAAACTGTGATCACCACCGATAAATACTACTACATCGTTTCTCCTGCTCTGCAATCCCGTTCCTACAAAACTGTCCCTTTAATCCTGGATAAAACTGCGTACCGCAATACACTCGTCAGTCGAAGAAAGAGAACCAAAATGCCCTAAGTTGTACACACGAGTCGTGAGAAAGTGAAAGTATTGTTAACTGGAACTGATTGACATAGCGTACATACGTAAAAAACTGTTTGTCTTCTTCGGTGGTGGTAGTTGACTCATGATTGTGGTTAAAGAAGAGCAAGGTGGGGACTGGACTCGCCTCGACCCTGTCGTCGAAGGGGGCGGTGGTGGGGACTTTGGTCGTCCACCGCCAGCAATGAATAAGGATGACGACCAAGATCATCACCAGCAGCAAGATTTCCACAATAATAATAATTCCAGTAATCATCATAATCATAACCACGGACCGAATCCCGTCGGCTCCATTCACATGAGCTCTTCGAATAGCGTTTGTAATAATCTCTGTCACGGTAAGTGCATGTGTACAGTTCTTCATTTCACATTGATAAATAATGAATAGGCAAGCAAACAAGTGCTTGATAAGTCAAATGATAAGTCTAACTCGGTTTTTCAGGCTGTGGTCATAGAATTTTTGATAGATATTACGTGCTCGCGGTGGAGAAAAGTTGGCATTGCGATTGCCTGAAATGTCAAAATTGCGGCGTCGTTCTAAGCAATCAGCTTACATGTTTCTCTCGGGATGGCAGAATCCTTTGCAAAGACGACTATTATCGGTAAGTCGTGAACTTTGTAACAGCATTATTTTTAACTACTAAAAGGATGTGGGTGGCAGACTTGACAAGTATTTATTAGTGGTTGTGGTTGAGGGATGGTCAGCGTCAAATATTGATAAGAAGACGAATCTAATGTACCATGTTACCATTAAAGAGAGGAGTTTAAAGGTTTCATTCAAATGATTATTCGGTTAATTTCTTTGTGGTTTCTACTGCAGAGATTTGCATTAAGAATGCGAATCTACGCATAATATATATATTACGGTAATTTTCGTATTTTTCATTCATAGTAGTTGTTTTTCGTATAATTATTGATCCTACTTATCCATGAAAAACATGAGCTAAAATCTACAGAAACTTTCTCCATATACATATACATTTTTGCAGCTATGTAGCTCTAATTATTTATGCACTGGTGGTTGGATGGAAATTTATTTTGCTCCAAGAAGTGAATTACAGATTGAAATGACAATTGAGTCAAATTAAGTGTGTCGCATTGGTCGTCTGAAATTATCTTAAAACAAAAGGTTCATATTACTTAAATGTCTCGCTTGTTTAATTTAATATGGATGCATATGTACCTATGTGACACACATATTTCGTAGGATAATACATAAACTTTTTTTCCTGCGAAATAACTTTCTCGCCACGTGACCATTGGCTAATAAAATATTTTAATCCAAATATTCATTCAAATATGAATCTAAACATCTCGTATTGCGTCAACCCAATGAATGCATACAAATACGCATACATGTGGATACATGACACCTAGACAGAAATTAAACAATACACATTATTTCATACACACCCTGCCAATTTTGACTGCGTTATGTTACACAATCTTAAGAAAAGCTCCTTTATATTTTATAAAAGATATGCAATTTGCAGTACTTTACAATACTTCATCAACGTGTAATTCAGTAGCCATGTCGTGCCATTTACTAAAACTCGCACATTAGTGATAAGTTATAAATTCTGCTGGACCTACGCACATGATGTGTACAACCAGACATACAAGATTTTCCCTTATTTGTCTCTAATTGCTTAATGATGATAATTTCAAAGGCACGTTCTCCCATTTATCTAAACTGTTGCTGAACACAGTTTTCAAATTATATTACATGCGGGTTGCTTTGTTGCTGGTAGATTTGGTAGTAACTTTATGTTGTTATTTCACGGGTTGCATATGTTGCACCCAGTGGTGTTACATATGATGATGGGCTAGAGTGCTAATTTGTATGTACATGACTCACAATGGTCATATCTGTCCCCATTCATCAAGTCTAAGGGTGAATCCTAAGCAAATAAAGATAAGCTTAATTAGATTTATTTCACAGTATCTAAAAGTCAAGCATTGTTGTTTAAATGCATCAGTCAACGAGCTGCATAGTAATTTCATCACCTTCTAATACCTTATTTTTCTTGGTTATGCAAACTCCGCCATAATCCCAGTTTCTTTTAAGACTTGGCGAAACCCGAAAGAACGACACTTGCAGTGTGCTATTAACAATATTGTAAATGAGATTGAATGCGATTGCTCTTATCTCGCACAGAAAACAGGTCTATACGCCTCTACTTCTTTATTATTTTTGTTTATATAAAAAATAGTGGATCATATCAGATCTGATTTGGGTAGAAATTGGAAGCGTAACAGAGAGATGGATGGTCTGACAGGGAAACAGAACCAGTCAACAGCCTCCACTTATCTCTCCAACAATTTTATTCCGACTTTAGCTCTTCTTAAACGCCACTCTCAGCAATAAAAGAAAGCCATCCTGCATATGATCGTCCAAGTTTCAATATTTCAATGAACACGTCCATTTCTTCGTTCCACGTTGAAATTCAAATGAAAGCCGTGTGGTTATAAAGAGGCGATTAAGCTCCATATACATATCGTCTTCGAATATGTACAAGAGTATAATAAATTGTTGTTTAATATCTGAGGTGGGTGTTATTTAGTGGAGTTTATGTGGTTGGTTTATGTGGACTTTTGCCTGCTCGCTTCTCTTTGTAATGTTGTAAATAAATATAAATACTGTATCTTCCCATCCCATCCGCTTTCATGCAGTTGTAAAAGTAAAAACAAGGAGCGATACCTACAACTAGTTTAGAACCATAAAGTAAAAAGTTCAGTCATAATTTTATGACATGATTCAATGATAATAATATCAACAACAAGTTTGGTATATCAAACTTTACAATTCAAAGTGTAGGCAAGAAGTAAGAAGATGCGAGTAAATAGTCATTTTATTAGTTCATTTTTCACAGTTCACATCCCACGACAGAAGGCAACTATTGTATTACATTTTGAAAAAAACGACTGAAATATGGAATTAATCTGACCTGTTGCTTGGAACATGCACACACGCCTGGACATTCTACTCTTTGGTTCCTGCTGAGCCCTTCCGGTAGCAGAGAACTTGATACCACTTCGTCGACAGCTTTTACCCACCTCTTGTGGAAATTCATGGGTTTTATTAACAACTTTCATCACTTATTTCAACCCAAATCATCTTTGAAAGCTGCATGAAAGAAACGTCTTCGTTTTTTACTATGTAGTAAGTAAATAATAATTGTTGGAGCATGCATATAAAAGTTCATTTAAAAATGACATTAAAATATTCATAGTTTTTAATAAAATGACTAAGTGATAACATTGCGTTTCCTGAGCCAATTTTTTCCTCACTTTGACGTTTCAAAAGTTTCTACTCTGCAACAAGCTGTTGAACTGCTTGAAATTGAATTTATGAAGATCAGTAGCTAAAGATCACTTGGTCGAGTTCATTGAAAAGATTAGCATTCAAGAGATTAATAATTTCCGTACTGGAATTACTTATGCGTGGCAAGTTGACCACGAAATACTAATTCCTAAAAAGAGAGAGAGGATGAGAAGCTCACAATCTGATGACCAGTGACAAGGATTGTTCTATGCACCAGTTCACATGAGGCAGAATTTGAAGAAGCAATATAGATATATTTACGAGGGCAATATGTAAAAGTCACGATGTGTCAATTGTCAACTCATGTCAAGATCTGCGTGAGTTGTGGCAGCAGAAAAGCGAAGACGGTTACAGCTCACTTGAATTAATTCCATGCAAAGAGACACCCTCCTTCTTGCTCGTAGTCTCGCATCAGCCATAAAAAAGTAACATGAGCCAAGAAGCTGGATTTGGATGGGAAAGTGGTGACTTGAATAATAACGAGGTTCAATTTGATCTCGATGTGTGCAGCAAGAAGAACAAGACCAACTTCCACTCGAGACGATGTGTACGGACGGACGTATCTAGAATTGCCTTGTTATTGATCTAGCTTTTCTTAACACCATATCAAGCAAGAACTGGCTGGTAAATACTTTTTACTACGATTCTCCACAAAATAAGGAGCCGGTTCAGTCTCAGGGTTTTAACAATTGAGAAAACTCAACCGTATAGCAGCAATAACCACTGGTTTCATTTTCACGAACAAAATCCAGTGTCTAATAATTGAATGAAATTGATTTTGTGGTTGAAAGGTGGAAATTGATTCTGATCAAAGCATACACTTACGACTAATTTGGAACCACAACCCAGCTTCTGCTTCTGCATGTTGGTTCTTGACCAAGTACATATAAATATGTAGGTAGGAAACGGTTTCGAATTTTGATTGCTGTCTGGGTGGTTAGTGGTTCATACGTACAAGTAGTTGGCTAGTGGTGGACCAGAATGCATCTATAATGCGTTCCTTGGCAAATTCATTCTCCATAAACAATGAGTAAAAGTCAGGTAGGAAATCAATTATAATTCAAGTTGGGTGATTTTTTTTTCTGGGTGATAATTGAACTTAAATCGTGAGCTTTGATTTTTAATTTTCCTACTTTCTAATTACATGGAAAACAGTTTGGTGTTGAAATTTTTAATGTATATGGAAATCAATACTTAATATCTTCGTTTGATTATGTAATTGAAAAGAGATCGTGAGACGGGGACGAGATAATAATGTGCTTCTGGTGCTTACACACCTCCTATCGTATTTATCTGCGGGTATAAAATAATGCAACACTAAAATCGATGCTCAAAGTTAATGGTTGCACAAACATACCGGATACATAATAAACAATTGGTGTCTGACGTTTAGTATTGACAGCACCAGTTTTTATGCTGCTATCTGCGGAATCTCGAACTAATTAGGTTAGGGAAACCCTTCATTATCTCTGCAGGTGTAATTGTATACCTGCACAGCAACAGAAACACGTTGCGCACACTGTATTTTTGTAAAATTCGGGAATTTTTGACTTCATACGAGTTGAGTCGCATTTTATTCTTTTTCAAGAATTTCAGAAATAATAAATGAATATGATTGGTTTTAATGTACGTAGGCAGAGATGGATTGTTTTATGAACGTGTACCATTTTTTGTTGTATCATCCTGCGAAATACTCATACCGTACAGTCAATATAATTTTTTCCTATTAGCTACCCCATGGTGGAGGTTTTATGATTAAAGATTTTGTGATACAGCCCGAATTTGATGGCAATGGGAAATGAGATCGGAATTAATATTTTAAAACCCTATTAAACGAAATACAAAAGTGTGAAATACTTAATTTTCAATTTGTGAAAGGAAGCAAGTTGTCTTTTTTGTTAATATTTGTCCATTGGTTTACTAAAATTCTTATTAACGTCCACCAAGCTCCCATGCCTGGACATCAATCATGTTAATTGTCTTGGGTGAATTCTGCTTTGGTGGTACGTCATACTTACGATTAGTTTACCTTCACAGAGTTAGTTAAATGTACCCATGAATACATGCATATTTTGCCGCATGAGACTACCTCTGAGTTGGCCAGCACCCTGCCGTAAACCCATCAGTTTTTTGCAATCGTAGATAGTTGTCGTCATTTCATCTCGTTCTTTGCAGAGGGATGATACATGTCAAAGATAAAGAAATGAAATATTTTTCCTTTCAGTTTTACGACTCTCGACGGTAGACAACAACGGTGAAGAACTGAGAAACACATGT